CTCTGCATCCTTCTATTGCAATGCATTGAGAAGGCAAATGTTGTTATGAGACTATAACAACATTTGCTATTGTAACGTCATCAATTTCATTGTTGTCAAGACTTAACTTGCTGTTCATATATCTAATCGAAATAAATAAATAAAGCGTAACTACTCTATCAAAATGTAAATATAAAAATGAATATTCTAGGTAGTATTGTTATGGTCCTATAACACATTTCTATTGCTGACAAACCTACATAAAGCCCTATCGGGCTGTATTAAGATTGTCATCGATAGCAATGAGTGTTATAGGACCATAACAACATTTCTAAAACATTCATTGCTTAAAATAGGTTATGCTTATAATAAAGGAAACTCCTTAATTGTGACGTTTACTTTGTATTAAGAAATAATTAAGACAACACCGTACTAAGAATTATCAGCTGCAACTGGTTGTTGCAAATTCAACCTTCAATAAAAACTAAACCGCCAAATGTCCTGAATTTTCTCCCTACAATTATTGTATTGGTTAATAAAATTCGGTTATATACAAACGTCCAAAGACGTTTTCAATGTTTAATGAGTCAACTTAGACGCGACTACATCATAGCTACATAGCTCATATGTCCACGCGGAAATCTTCTATCCGTAAACAACAACAACAACAATAACAACAACAACAACAACAATAATAATAAATTAATTAATTAATTAAATAAATGGTACATCTATGAGTTTGGCTTTGAAGTACTTATTAATAATCCTGTATGTTGTACTTAACAGTAGCAGTGTCAGTGGAAACAAATAACTGCAAAGAAGTGAATAATATTAACATCAAATTCTTCGACGAAAAGTAAAAGTTGTATGTTAAAAAAACTAGCTACGGTTTTTAACATTTTGCATGTGTTTAAGCTCATCATTTTACGTTACCTATAAGACATGTTCGTTTTATACCTCCTATATGTATGTTACCGACGTTCTGTCTGCGCTCGAATCTATCATTGGTTTAGAACGGATGTACAAGACCTGTGTAAGTCTACCGCAGACTACTCCAAGTGGGTGCCGATAGCAGATACGACTTCAATACGTTTTATACTACCAAACAATGTGTTTCTGATAAAACTCAACTTAAGTGTGAAAGGACAGGTAATGCACAGGCACAACATGTGCTCCTCAAAAACATTTGTGTCTAACACCGCCCAAGATTGGTTCAGACAACTTCAAACCTATGTGGAGGTGGCAACAGTGTGTTGATATAGGGTTGTTCGCCTGGGCTTCTGTTATCCCCCTGCCCCCTGTAGGGCGATCAAAACACCCTAAAACCTGACTTGAGACGGTGTGTACATTGTATATCCTCTCCCCTATAACACAATATGACGGGCAGTACGTGTATGCACATGTAAACCATTGGTATGGACACGTTATTGCCCCCCTCGTCCGTCGCTCATTCTTCCAAATTACCACCATCTACAAGTTAGTGTTATAATTGTTCCCTGCGGGACGTACCGGGGAACACTATCTTCTAACTTTGCGAAAATTGATAGGAATTACCTAAAACTATCTTTTCATATGAAGATAATTTCCGAATTATTACCCGGCTGTAGTGTATGACCGTTTTGATATCGCTCATAATGCAAATTGTCATTTATCTCGATTTAATGGACGATAAATTCACAGAAGCTTCAATAACGCTGGGACAATATCTGCTTTTATAACACTCTAAACATGCATAATCACATTTTGGTAACAGCTCCCACTAAAAAGACTCTTTATGTAAAGTATCTTAGTGTAACAAAGCCTATGGTAGCTGACTTTATAGATAATCTCACCAGATGTCTGTAATTATAAACGATAAATAACGCGAAGGTCGTTAATCCTTAGCATACAAAGCAAACTTGACGACCCCCGACAGTTAGAGAAAATTTAAGAGACTATTAAAATATTGAAAAAAAATATATCATAAAAAAATTAGCCCATAATGTTAGAATGGCTTCACATCTACGCTATTTGTTTGGGTGTCAAGTACGTGATATATATTTTCATTTGATTTTTTTCTCATTTAGGATAAAATCATGCATAACAATCATTTTTTTTACACAAATTTGCATTGAGAATGATATAACACCAGATAATATTTAGCTGGTAAAATTAAAATACCATTTGATAATAAAGTAAATTTAGGCCTCCCAAAACCGTGCATGTTTTAATGAGCAGCGCAGTAAAAGAAGGAAGACGTTAAACATGCTTTCCTTTAATTTGCTTGGCAAACACAGTTTTACCAAACAAGAAAACCACAATGTTACCTTGCAAATAAAAACGAGGACGCCAACAATTTTTCCTAGCAGAGTTAAACAGAGATGCCGACAGTGTTGCCTAGCAAAGTTAAACAGAGATGCCGACAGTGTTGCCTAGAAAAGTTAAACAGAGATGCCGACAGTATTGCCTAGCAAGGTTAAACAGAGATGCCGACAGTGTTACCTAGCAAAGTTAAACAGAGATGCCGACAGTGTTACCTAGTAAAGTTTAACAGAGATGCCGACAGTGTTGCCTAGCAAGGTTAAACAGAGATGCCGACAGTGTTACCTAGCAAAGTGAAACAGAGATGCCGACAATGTTGCGATACGCCCAATTTTACCTACCATAGTTAAATAGTGATATCCAAAACTGTACTTCGCAAAGTTAAAGCGGATATATCCACAACTTTACTGAAAAATATTTATTGGATATATCCACTTAACATAGCACAAAAAAAAAAAAAATCCACTTAACATAGGTCAAGAAGGTCAAACGGGCATATCAACAACATTATCTAACATTTCATTTTTTACATAGACAAACGGAGATATCTACAACTTTATCTTGAAAACTTAACGAAGATATTTGAAGTTAACTGAACACAGTGAAAATAACTCTTTTGAAGACTACAACATTCATGTGGTGTGAAAAATGGCATAACTCAACAGGGCTTTTCAGTCTAGTCTGTGAATAATACCGAAGGAATGATGAAACGCTCGATGAAATTTTCGATTTATGCTACAACCAGCCATATTTCTTAGTACTACCTCACCTAGAACACAGTCTTTGCGGTAGGTCTCTATTACTCGCGTTAAAGACAATCATTTCTTATGTTTCTTTTCACCTTCTAGGCATGTCTTTACATAAAGACTTGGTAAAAGCGCCTTACGAATTTGTCCTGGTTGTGCCGTCACTATAACTGATTTGTCGTGCTTCAGTAAAGCAAACCTAACAATAAAATTAACTAATTAGCGAGGAAGAGGAGGAGGCTAAATCTCCGTCGTGGTGTGGGTATGAAACAACATGCAGTTGTAATCGCTGACGTTTCAGTTTCCAGCAATGCTGCCTAACATGTAGCATCTGAAAAGCTATGGGAAATTATTTTTTTATAAACTCGTATTTAAAAACATGAACTTGGGTCATGTTTTACAAATGTCTTCACAATGGTTGATTGTAATACAAAAAATCAGAAACTCATTGTATAATTAGAGGCATTTATAAAATTTCGTATTTAAATAAATGGAAATAAATGAGAAATCATTTAATGTGCACGTCGACACAAAATAATAAGCATATAATTATCAAATTGCAAATGTTGTTTAAATAAAATAATCAATATAATCGTATTGTAATATAGGTTTTTATAATCACTATTTCCAAAAACTGCTATTTTGTATTAAAATTTCGATTTATTCAAGAGAAAACATTTTATTTTGATCAAGTTATTAGGTGATCGTTCAAATTCAGAATAAGGAAACTTAACGATGGCGAATTAAAACTATGAACATTTATTAATGTTCGACAGGAGTTATAACTATTCGTATAACATTGTAGTAATTTATAATCCATTCAATTGATACAGTTAATCCCATCCGAAAGTGACAACCATTCTATAACGAAGGAGGGCCGTTGTTTGGCTGTTGTGCTACATGTAGATACACATTTTAAGACAACTGACATTTTGACAACTCCAACCAAAACAGGCTCGTTGGCTTCATTGGCTTGTTCAGGAAACAAAACAAGACATAATTGATAATTGATTTCAATATTTATTACGGTACGTATAATACATTTCAGACAAATACAATACAGACTTTTCACTTTGATTATTCAGGTAATTCAAATACTAGCAGAGCTTATCAATGTCATTCTATTAAAATTAAATTGCAGTAGCCGTAGAGTTATATCTTCCTGGGTGTGTGTTTTGGCCGCTGTGAGGAACTGGTCGTGAGGTAACGATCTTTAGCTGATGCTGAAGGATCTACTGGATAAGTGTCAGCTGAGACTATATAACTATAGATATTTACTTAGTATGGAACTTCGAATCTCAATATAAGTGTGAGCATAAAACAGACATGTCCTTCATAAAAGGCTCGAGTATTTAAGAATTACTGCATACAGATATATACTGTAAAACAAACAAAAATCACATCAGATTACAACAAATATGAACATTAAGTACAATACGAAATTTATACTGGTATTATACAAGTAATGGCAAGATTAACCTTGAAAAACCAGCAGTAAACAGGCAGGCCAATTATAATATGTTGATGATGGCAGAACTGACTACCGTTACCTGCAGATCATCTTATAACTGCGTTTGTAAGCATCGCCGAGAAGTTTTGCAGACGCACAATCAAGACTAATAACCTTTATGAATCTTTAAAACAATCAGTAAGAATTGAATCAATCCCTAACATTATCATTCATAATCACAATCATTCATAATCACAATCATTCGTAATCACAATCATTCATAATCACATTCATTCATAATCACAATCATAATCACAATCATTCATAATCACAATCATTCATAATCACAATCAATCATATTCACAATCATTCATAATCACAATCATTCATAATCACAATCAATCATATTCACAATCATTCATAATCACAATCATTCATATTCACAATCATAATCACAATCAATCATATTCACAATCATTATCACAATCATTCATATTCACAATCATAATCACAATCATTCATAATCACAATCAATCATATTCACAATCATAATCATTCATAATCACAATTAGTCATATTCACAATCATTACCACAATCTTGAACACAATCACCTGAAGTGTAAATCAAATGATACTGACGTTTATCATGTCACATTCTATGTTATTTATTCAAGTAACCATACTGCTTATAATTGTATATATATATTGTGACAGAGTTTTACCTTCGTATGTCAACAATGTGGGAATACCACGCTAAAGAACCCATTGTTTTACAAGTCATTATGGAATTGTTCACGATATCTTTAATAATAAACGTGAAATTGTGCTATTTAAATAAGAATAAATGTTCTTTTTATTACATTTGATAATATGTAAGATAAAACGACAGAGCCTATAGGATATCGTTTGACTGGCCATTCTAAACAATACTTACAGAAATAAGCATGTCTACCTCTACACTGGAGGATTTAAGCGGAAATTGAAACAACATTTTGTGCTTTAGTAAATACTAAAAAAATATGATAAGATACAAACATTATGGACATGTAAATCACAACTTAACAGTCTATACGTGTACATCTTAATGATGTATTTGACAACGCATGCATTGCCTAACTTCTGTTTGACATCATAACCATTTGTTTACAAACACAGATTTGATTACTGGCAAGACCACTAGCTAACTGTTCTTGGAAAATGTAAATTGTTCATGATGACTAACAGATGACCAGTATATGCAAAGTTATGCTACACGCTGCCTCGGCGTGGCTTTCATCCTTATACCGGTCTGCGATTTCATCACAGGAGCCTCTCTCTTCTCGACTTTGTGATTGGGGTCGAGCTCCAAATCGAATCTGTAAAATATATTAATACGTTGAAGGGATAATCACAAAGCAAATGTGTATGTTGGATTGTTTTGCGAGGAAGCTTGCAATACGACTACTCTGTGTGATTCGAAGTTGGGTTACGCTATGTTCGTTATTCCTGCGAAGATCGCAACATCAGTCATGGTGATAAATAAATACATTTAATGCAACAACTGTTTCGTCATGACAAATGAATAAAGGTTTGAGTAAAATGAATATTTACGAAAAATAAATGAAAAAAGAACAACAACGAGATACAAGAAGTAAGGAAAATTAATTAAACGAGTAATCAACACTCTGATGGCCTTTCATTAATATTTAAACTCGCCTTACTGTCGTTTTGAAAAAATCAAATGTATATCAGTAGAAATTGTCATGGACTAGTTTTTTAAGATAATTCATTCTAGCAGAAAAAAAATGTTCGTTATAACAATACAATTTAATTATACGCATGCGAAGACCGATTAAACATGAAAATCTTTATCGGTATAAGATTTCTAAATCAGGGTAGGCCAGGATTGTTTTAGTTCAATATTAACATCTGCCAATGCTCGTATTGTATGGAAATTGAAATAAACGTCACGTTGTCATTCACAGATTTTATTACACATTTCGTGCTGTGCATATTCATAATATGGACAAATCTGCATTTGTTGTATCCGGGCATTTTTATTGCCATGGAAATATTACATGTATAATGATAAGAAATACGCGTACGACATTTAGAACTAATAGCACACATAGCACACTATTGCAGTATTACTAACTTTTGTTTGCACAATCAAAGTAAAGGTACCCATGAATTTTAAAGGCACGTCATTATAAACAGATGAATTATACATAAAAAAAAAAATCACTAATATAGCATTATTAACACAGCTTGTACTATCCCTTACACTCTAAGTTAAGATGAATTAAGGCATTTCTAATGCGATTCACCATACCATTGTTTTTATGACATCACATTCCAATAACCATGTGGCTATTCGATATACATTACTACGGTAAGTCATGTGGCTAGCGTTAGATTACTGTCACACACTTATGCCAAGATCGTCATTCAGAGGGACAACATGTTAAATTCCCCCAACATAACACAGATATCACGTCATACTTAACCTCCTCCCGCTCTCACCATGGTCCCTCAAATATCATGCCAACCAATTACATCTAAAGAATTATTTGATGCAAAGTATATACTAAAATCTATATTATGTAAAACTCGCGTATTATGGAGTCTGCTTATTTCTGTCTGAATCATTTCAGAATTGTCCAATGTAAACTATGCTATAAAATTATAATGTGTGTTCATTACTGAAGATACGCTAATAAAATACTCGGTAAACGCTGGCATATTATTGCACTTGTCCTCCTGTAGTCCCTATCACTTTGTTATCATTCAATTCATATAAGTTATTAAACTGCGTCATCCTAAGTATGCCATATTTAAACAAAAGTATTTTCCATCAACATTTGTCAATTGTACACGAATATCACGTATCTGTAAAGCCTGTGCTATCGTCAGAGGTCGCAATGTCTATTTACCTCTGCGTTTTTCACTGACATAGTCTGCCATTTAGTAGCAGACTACAATGTATCACAAAACTGATATTCCCTTCCCTCCGCTGTTGGCATTCTTCACCTTTTTTTATGTAAGTGATTAGCTAATTTAACTAAAAATATGTACCAACGGATTGAAGACAGACGTCAAGAGTCTTCAGAAAGCCTATACAATTGTCAAGTATTTAAAAACAATTGTCGGTTCTTAAAATCTTACAGTAAAATTTATGAATGCTACGCATGCATCAGCTTTAAGAAACACACAAAAATATTGCTTTCATTTATAAAATTGAATGTTCTATTGTTAAAATCAACTAAAACATTTAACTTACGCAGTTTACCGTTAAAAAGGACCTGATTGTATTTCCAATTAAGTTGATGTATGCAATGTTTGTTATTTCTTGTATCGTTGATAATACTATTGAAATACATATGAAAGTAATGCACAGATATTGAAATAATGTATCAACAGTATATTTTAAGATTGGACAATTTCACTGTGTAGAGATGTTCATGCTTTCCGCGTTTAGTGACTTACCGATAACATATCCTCATGCAAATGCTTATTTATAGATTATAGATATATAGAATATAAAGATTTCAAAATCGTTGCCAACGCAAACATTTCAACACTGCAATCAGTTTAAAGAGTCGTACAAATAATATAGAAGATGTAAGAGGACATCCAAATGCTTAATTTACGGCAATTAACGGATACGGATACATTTCCAATCTTAATGGCAAAGGCCCGTAAGAAGATCCTTAATAAATCTTCTCACATATATTGAGAACGTGAAATGATGTGTAATGACTTCGTTGTGATATCTAAGTCAAAAGTACTGTAAATGTTATGAAATATATACAGTAGGAAAGAGGGAAGTAATATCAGCTATTTAAACAAAGGGATGTAATTGACATTGAAATAATAGTATAAAAGTAAATAACTATTGTAAAATGAAACTTTTCTTAAAGACTATCTTGCAGATTTGATACGTCTAACAACTTTTATGATTCAAAGTAACTAGCTTGAAATCAGCATAAAAATACAGCATGATTTGGAAGCAAGCGATGCACATTCAGCTTGTAGCATTTATATGAGATTCATGGCAAAACCAAACAAAAAAAGCACATGACCAACCTCCCCTACCATCTGCACATATCGTAATATCAATATAAGAAAGAAAACAATGCTTAAGACTAGACAATCTTGTGCCATTAAGTGTTTCTCATCATCTTCAAAATGAGTAACCATGACCTTCATCGCACGCCATACGTCAAACATTACCGAATGCCAGGCGAATCTTGTATCAGCAAAATATTAGGCTTGGCAAGAAATGACCGTACGTTTATAACCATGTTACATCAAGACTCTGTGTAGCCAAGTTAATGTGTAGACTGTGAACCGACGTCATATGTTGGAGGATAGAAGTGGTCCCTTAATATATCACTCTCCACAGCGCATTCCTCAGCTTGGACATATTCAGGTGAACAATGTTCAGGGGGCTTTCTACTCGACCCTAGAGACTCAAGTGGGGCTGCACTCTCCTTGGAGCCCATATGTTCTCACTTCGCCCGAGTCCCTGACAATTCCGTGTTCTGCCCACTTTCCTATTGCCGTTTTCATGTCGAACACTTGAAAGTGTTGTAACAGTATAAGTACCAGCGATTATTCTTCATCACAACTGTCAACTATGTGCTTGGAATGAATTACGAATACACACACCCCGTAGCCAGCAGCTTTCGTGTAACTGACGGATAGATAACCGTGTTGTTATTGTCGAAGAGTTTATTACGAAGAATGAGTAAGAACAATAACATTTTCTGGAAAGAATTTCATAAGATGTGTGATTTTTCTTTTTACTTGGTGGGAATTTGTGGTATCAGAGAATAGAAACTCATCCAGAAAGATTCCAATACATTTCGCTACAAATTAGCATAAACCGCGTTTGCTTACATATAAGTTTAACTAATACATTACATTGTATATGCGCAGATGATAGATAAAGACATCTCATATCTTATTTTAAGTCTCACCTTTCGATCAAACTTAAAATCATAAAACACAAGTATAATTTATTGAAAGCAAGTTTATGAATGAATTGTTGGGCTGTGAGATAGGTACATACATGTTCTTGATGATACACTTACAACAGTTAACTAAAGTGATTTGGAATGACTGTGGGAGTGTTAGTAAAGAGAAACGTTTCCGGTCTCTATAATCTTCTCACATTAGTGTGACTACGTAAGGAGAGATAAGTATTATTTCTCTCATTTCCCTGTGTGTCAGATGGAGCTGTCCAGGGTAAGAAAGGGGTGTAGGAAATTCCAATCTTACACCCCATTTCATGTGACGTGACGTCACAATGGCTCAACAATGACGTGACGTCACGAATGTGGAACCCTCCTTTGCCGCAATGCGGAAAAGCCGACGTGATGAAATTAAAAAAATATACTATATATTTACCGTACATGTAAGAAAGATGTGATTAATTTTTCTACGCAAACATTGTTTGCAAAATATGGGGTATGCTTAATCTGGCTGGCTAATTTGTTTTCGTCTAAAAAGCTACGGGGAAATTGATATTTTCAAAATGATGGCCAGTACAAACGCATTTTCATGGTTTCTTAGCTTATTCTGGTGATTGGAATGAGAGATAAATACTCTTTCATGCCCAAGGGTGTAGGATAGGGAAATCCCACCCTCGGGATTTTCAAATTTGGCAAAATCCGAGGCTTTCCCTATCCTACACCCCTGTGCATGAAAGAGTCTTATAATATTGAATGGACTAGATTTTACCGTTGCGAATCTTTGTAGTAAACGGAATCACTTTCAGCTGTACATTTGTATATTCGTCGTAATCATGTCTTTTAAACTTTTGAAGATTTGTATAGATGGTTAGCTGGTCGAGGTTGTACACTTAAAACTGTAATCATCATAAAAGAGCATGTTAAACTGACGATAGTTTGTCTTTGTAAAACGCTATAGACTCCTTCTGAATTAAGCAAAGTCGAAGCTAAAGCATTTTTTCTATTTAAAATTGAGGAACTGAAAGAACTTTACTTTTTTTAATGGGCTAGTTCTATACAAGACTTCCCGATCCATCTCAGATCTTACTATTGTCAAATGGTGCCATGCATACATTTCACTATGGTTAATACAGATCTTTCCGAAAAAAGCAGCAACAAACTTCAAATGCATTATATTTATACCATATTGAAGCAATTCTGTCTTTTCAGGTTGTGTCACGATCCCTTCAGTAATTCCTGAGATATCGCGGTAATAAATTTGACATGCAAATCTAGAACCGGGAGAGTATGTTGGGCAACAGATCTGAATGTCCTTCATCCTAAAAAGTCATCGAATTAACATCGTTAGTGAAGAACTGATGGTTCTTTAGAAGAAGTTTTTTGAATACTTAAGCACATTTGAGCTTTTTTACGTTGGAAATGGGTCAATATTACCCATCTTGACATCCTCCACTCAAGCAAGCTACATGGCAAGTATCTCTACCATACTTCTTAAGTTGTGTGATAAAAAAGATCATTGACATTGATCTAACGGACATTGCATAAGACAACAGACAAGGGATGCATGGCTTTGGATATGGCTACATGTAACATTTACACATGAAAAGAAGAAATCAAGTCATGACGAGGCCCGTATATATTTTTCAAAAAAAGTCTCCCAGAAAGCAAAACCTTGATGAAATAGTTGATGCATCAATATAAAGCAACTAAACAGAAAATCCATGAATTTTAGAACAGAATATAGAGTGTATATATCAGTAGGGAATAAAATCAGACATAATAATAGACAGTGTAAACTGGTGTGTTACTACTGAGGAAGGTACATTTTAGTATTGAGATTATAATTTATGCTTTTATGTATATACATGTATATGCCAATATATGTAGTTGATGATAGAGCGTGTATGCTACACTGAATTTCATGTACTAGATAATATAAAGCACAATGATAATAACACCGTTTTAGAGATATGAGGTGATTTGGGTATGCAAGCTCGGATTCACCGGTTAAAGCAAGTGTTTTTGTCCATGATGAATTAAAGACTGACATCACTGTTGCTACTGTATTTCAACAAGAATATTTTAAATAGCGAATACTGTACAACATAAATTCGCCGAACGCTGATCTGTGTAGACTGTAGTCGAAACAATGTTCTGTCCTTGCGGGATTTGATAAATAAACACTAAAGACATATTCGTTCCCGGTAAAGAAAATAAAAAAAGTCATGTCCATTCTGTGAGAGAAATGTGAGACTAAAAAACGTATGCTTAAGGTAATCAAGGGATTTAAAAACAATAAAACTGAAAAATATCATATGTATCTAAATCCATGGGCCCCTCTATCATTGTGATGTATGTGGCTTCCTGGGGTCAGAATCGGTCTCCGCCTCTGTCTTAGTACAGACGGCTGGCTCCAGAATCATCATCATCGGATTATAAACAACCATTTCCCAAATTCCAGGGGAGTCTGCCAGGAGTAGCTACCAATGTTGTGTAAAGTTTGACAACAAACGCAGTCCATTTATCAAGGGCATCGCTAGACCAAAGGGTAAATCTGACTGGGAGGAGGACCTACAGCCCATCGTGCGCGGACCAGAGGCATTGAGTCGATACAACATCTCCTATCTGATGATGTTAGTGTTGGTTTTATAGTACCTACTTCCGTAACTTAAGAAAAGTACGTGGATAAAACATAAGTGCCCATGACCTTTTCAATGACCAAGCGACCATAAGCACAAGTATTTATGCCACGAGAGAAGGCTTTGATTTCGTATAAGGTTTCACACACTCTTGAAAAAAAGAGACAAATACATTTCTGTTGAACATAGGGAGCATATATCATCTGTTTCTACCATGCAGAGAAGACGTCTTATGTTGTGGGAGTTTACGTTTAAACAGACTCTACCTACAGAGTCTCACACCAAGACGACTTAAAACAGATTGTAAGGCAGGTTTATTTGCTGAAAATTACAAACTTATCTTTTTCATCTTGTTAAAATGAGCATGGTGTATCAATTCATTCAATGTTTAAAAAGAAAATATATATTTGTAATTGTCATATTTTGAGACCAACAACGGTCTAGGGTTTGTGGGTTCTCTAACATTGGAGTTTTAACCTAACCTGATTTCTAACCTTGCAGTAAGACTGTGGATTCAATATTTCAATAAAGTAACATCGCAACCGTGACTGAAATAGGAGACAGTAAGTTGTTTCAGGAAATATATGTTTCGGTAATATATATATACAGGAAAGTATGTAGGTCACCAATAATCTCTGGACCCTATTATGAAAAATAACCATAACATATGAAGAAAAAAAACATTACTGGATACATGTTTTGATTCATGGTGACAATCGAAAAATCAATTGAGCAACTAGTGAAGCTTCTAAGAAAAAATAACTCTGGCACACCTGTTTATTGGTCAACGAAACAAATTGAAGGTCCCAATGTTTCCATGGACATTGACCGTAAAGGTAATCTTAACTTTGCAATACAGGAGTGGCTATAATAACAGCATTAGTTTTCCCGGTTGGAAATGTTCGATGTGAAAGCAGGCTTTACGTGATATATCATAAATGTCTGGAGAGAAAATTATGTCATAATTCGTGATGAAAGGTTATCAAACAGACCTAGCTTCAGTAAGATAATTTAAAATACACTATGTAAACCATGCTTATTTGGAGTTTTGAATAACAAAATCGCTCCCGAAACTATATAAAGTGCAGTGTGCAACAATTGTATGTTATTTTAAGTAACTACTAGTGATATAATATTGATGGAATGTTGTACACATGCTTCATATTTATTTTTATTATATTTATGTTATTAAATTTATATCATATATCAATCAATACTGAATTAAAACTAGTATAGTGCTATTCACATATCAGTCCATTTCAAAGAAACATCATCAAAATGCAGTCTAATCAGAATTAAAGAAGTCTGCATGTAAACCTTTCAAATGTAAGTATCAACAGGCACCGAGAACACTACGTACAAAAGTCAATTGTTTTCCCTTACCTTCGAAGAATTCTCGCAAGGATCGTCTTCATTTCGTGCATAGCAAAATGCTGTCCAATGCAATTCCTACAAAGTAAAACAAACATTAATTTATTAACTACGTATTAACGACGTGGCCATGACATGTCTCCTTGACCTTCTGTAATATATCACTATCCAGCCGGATGCTCAACGATCCGTCAGCTTAACAAGTTTTTTTAACAAATGCTTAATAAAAAAAAATATCATTATTTTTTTAAATCAATTTTCTTGTTTTACTTCTTATGTTTTCATAGAGTAACGCCGAATTCAAAGCGAGTGGTTATTACCTTAGATTTTAATTTGGGAAAAAATAAATCGCTTCTTTTATAAACTTGTTAAGATGACCAGAAGAAATGATTTAAAATGCCAGTATGACATTTTGCAATAAATAAGATGATAATGAAAAGAAAACACAATCTCGTTTTGAGTTAAAATTCTAACGTGAATTGGTTGTTAAAACGTACCATAAATCATTGTCAGGCATATTCCATAACATACAGGCAACGCTTAATATAATGGTCAGAAGAAGGGGGAAATATACAAAGATCTCAAGCTAACGAACGTTTGGGAATGAGTTATTAGTAGAAATATAGCAGGAACATTGGAATTGCTCTGTAGTAAACCATAATAATACCTTCTTCTCAATTATTAGGAAGAATTACTATTTTGAACTTATGTGGTGTGAAAGTTACTGAATTACAGTTATTAGTGGGAATATAGCAGGAACATAGGACTTGCTCTGCAGTAAACCATAATACCACCATATTCTCTATTATTATGTGGTGTGATCGTTACTGAATTACAGTTATTAGTGGGAAGATAGCAGGAACATAGGAATTGCGCTGCAGTAAACCATGATAACACCATATTCTCTATTATTATGTGGTGTGATCGTTACTGAATTACAGTTATTAGTAGGAATATAGCAGGAACATAGGAATTGCTCTGCAGTAAACCATAATAACACCATATTCTCTGTTATTATGTGGTGTAATAGTTACTGAATTACAGTTAATAGTTGGAATATAGCAGGAACATAGGAATTGCTCTGCAGTAAACCATAATAAAACCATATTCTCTATTATTATGTGGTGTGAAAGTTACCGAATAACAGTTAATAGTTGGAATATAGCAGGAACATAGGACTTGCTCTGCAGTAAACCATAATAACACTATATTCTCTATTATTATGTGGTGTGATAGTTACTGAATTACAGTTATTAGTGGGAATATAGCAGGAGTATAGGAATTGCTCTGCAGTAAACCATAATAACACCATATTCTCTATTATTATGTGGTTTGATAGTTACTGGATTACAGTTATTAGTGGGAATATAGCAGGAATATAGGAATTGCTCTGCAGTAAACCATGATAACACCATATTCTCTATTATTATGTGGTGTGATAGTTACTGGATTCTAGTGAAGATCATATTGATATTACCATGGTACGTTTAGTTCAACCTTCAATTCATTGTATTTATCAGTGCCGAAAATGCGCAAGTAAAACTATATTCCATATACAGTTGATGTGGTGGCAGCTGCTCTCTCCAATAACTATATATATATATGTATAACAAAGTTTCAGTATTTATATTTTTATGCTATTGATATGATGATATCTTGGCTACTTAAAGTGTAAAGTGTACAGTAGTAGAATATCCTTGTAACTGAATCCTGCATTGCAATTGTATGGCTATGAAAAAACAGTCTAAATCAAAGAGTTAAAGCACTTACAAATACATTCTTAATTCTATGCGCTATTCCTCATGACATAACAACGTATCGCAGAGCAATACTTATCCTCATTTTATTGTTGAATTCGAGGGACGACACGTTTTGATTTCCGAGATCTTCGTTAATATATGCCCTTGTTTCTTCGACTGTAAGTTCGAATAATGATTTTGTTTGTGTTTGATTTTTTTTTCTTTTTATTAAAGTTACTGCTTGGAATCAAAACATAGGAAAAACATAACTGAATTGTTAACCAATAGCATTCAAATACGTGATAAATCAATAACATTAATTTGATAATCTCATGTGATATCATTTAACTTTACATACATGTATATGTTCATTTATTTCATATAATTAGTACAAAGATTGCAGCCAATAATGATAGCATCGTTTCCAGTGAAATTGGGTCATACTACACAACCCGTTCTGTTAGTTGAGAGCTACTATCATCACGACGTCCATGACGACTGTATCAGTCATCATATATTTAGGTAGTTTGGGATCTTAACACATCAGTTGTATACAAGAGTTATTTACAAACTACAAAACCTTGTTTTGTTTCACCATCCGGAATTTTCAACTTATGGTGTCATTCGTGTTTGTCTCATAATTCAACAGTAACAAAAATTCACATAATAATACGTAGATGTAATTTGTTTTCAGAAATGACAGAGTGTTTGAAAAATGTTCTCCTTTCCGCAGAGATGAAAGAGCGAGGCGGCATTGTTAGCCATAACATAATGGACTAAATTACATGGCCTCGCGGATTTTAATGGCAAACCCAGAGGCTTAAGCATGTGTGAAAATATGACTATTTCATGGTTGCCTTGTCTGTTTACTCAAGGTTTACGGAGAATGTGGTGGTCCATGGGTTCCGCATGTGTTCATGTCAAAAACACAAGTATATCTACAATTCCACAATCCCCCATTCAGATATAGTTTGTACCTGGCCATAGAACACGTATACAGGATAAGTTTCAAGGGTAGAATAACTAAGTCCGACTAACAATTTGTCTATTAAGTGAGGTTTTTAACACTTCAACACTATCTAGTTTAACCATATTTTAACAGATATATGAGGGTACATTGTATCGAATACATTTTCATCTTTAGAATATTTCATTTTTTTATGAAATATAACTTGCAGTCTCAACAGTATATATATTTTTGTCCATCTGTCTAAGTTATTATATCAAACTTCTACGATTTCAGTGTTCTTACCTCCAGCATTTGCATTTAAGGAGAGTGTTTTTTGTGATTTATTACGCTTAACCGTTGGTTTCACATCTAACAACCAGAATGATACCCGTTCATTCATGTGTACTTATTACATTGTGTGTAATTGACTTTTAACTATCTTATGAAATATATGAAACGGGTCTAAACATGTTTTTTTTGACACCCCATTTCAAATGGATACAAATATGAGCAAATGAACCATATTTTTTGCGACTGTCTGATCTTGAAGTGCCAATATCATCCTAAATGTATGCCATATTTTTTGAGGATATTTCTTCTAACTAAATACATTTAATGGAGTATAATTACAAGCAAATCCAAGTATATCTGACATTCAACAAGAAATATAAAAGAATTTCTTTAATATGTAGTTATGGATATCACAACCCGAGGGTTGGGATTTTATGCTGTCTGACTAGAAATTATCCTGAGGTACATATTTTTCAATTCTGTTACCGAGGTATCCCTTTACACAACGTCAAAAAAGTTTTGTCATCTTAGCATGTCTATGCAAAAACTGATACGATATATTCCTTCTGTATCACAAAAACATGTACATGGTCCAATGTATAAAGCAAGAAAGTTCAATAACGCAATCATATTCCAGCTTTTGGAAGATTTCAAATATTTGCAACCACTGGTCATAGTCTATCCTAAACTTCTCCCCAACCTTAAACTAGAACTTACAAACATGGTACTGATATGACAAGGCTTATATCAGACCATGACGTCACAATCAAATAAAGATATGGGTGACGTTTCCTTTGCAGCAATTTTTTACGATATAAATGCTGTATAAAAAAACAAGACAATACTTTTACACTTTAAGAAATAAGAACGATGTTTTCACTATTAAATTGTATATCTCACTATAAAAAAACAAAACAAAAATTAGTGATGAAATCAAAAATCTACTCGTACATCTATATTCATCCATCTATTATGATATTTTTCTCAGTGTAATAACATGTAATATTTCTACATTCTATATCATCACCAAATTACACGCAATGTTTGGTTTTACTGAAATACAACGCGAGTTTTCGTTCATCAATTGACTGTTTTTACCTCGTTACGACAGTCCTTACATCAGGTTGTGTTCCGGTGGTTGATTATGCGTACTTAAATTATTTTTAATTACTTTTTCTACTTAATATTCTACATGTATAAGACTGACAGGTGTTCAGTGTCCGATTGAAAAACACCAGTTTGGATTTAGAAGTTGACTGTAGATACTATAAGGATGACATTTATGAATTCTTACTGATTACATTAAGTCATTTCATTCATTACACCTAATTGATACTGGTTTAGAACAAAACTAGCTAATATAACCTGGTACTCGATGCTAAGTGTCCGTGAGTTTGTCAGCAGTATAAAAGGTATCCGAGTTGGTTGGTAGCTTGTGACATTAAACCAATATCATATTGGTGGGGGGGAAAAAAATAGTAACCACATGATAACCTCTTAAATCAACTTATTTACATAATCATCACGGTGGGGGTAGGGATAACACATCTTGTTAGAAGGAGCTAATTGGAAGCTGAATTCCGCGACACGGCAGTGTTTATGTTCCATTATACGGAGACATAGTCATGATATATAATTAGATATCTTGTATAATAGTACAATAGCTACCACGTGCCAACCCTTACAAACAATAATTTACATGCAAACCTCGAGCTTACCATACTCATCACATGAAACTGAAAAATATCAACGTTCATAAAATCTGTCTGACGGGATGTTTACATTTTTTTTAACTTACTAAGATAACAACCTGCCAACTATATCATTCTGAGATGAAACATAGAATTAAAATCCAGAAATAGTGATCCATACTCTCTGTGATATGACACGAGTTCCAGTTCAAGAACATTAAGAGAGTACCGAAGTGTCAACAATGATTTTGGTTTTATTTATATTTGATCAACATATAAGTTATAATGGTCAGGGTGTTAGCAGTCAGTTAAATTAATTAAGAGAACGTCAGAGAAGATAGTCAGGTTACTTTTATTCATATCCTGCTTCTAGTAGAAATAAAACACACGAGATACATGCAGCATATC